ATGGTGCCCGGATATCAATAAGAATAGTGTCTAGGGTCTTAAAGGCTGGTATTCAAACACACAGCCATCTTAGTGAGGAGTCAATTAAGTCCACATGAAAGAAGCACACCAGCCTGTGTGATCCAAAGATGACAATAATAAAATCCAAATATGATAGAGGGAAAAGGATCAGAGCTGAAATTGCGAGTGCCCAATTTGTAGAAGGCTGTGGGGGACAGTGAGAGCCCAAAATCCATCTGCAGCGTATCCAGTGAAATTTAGCCTCCAGCAGATCCTTCTAGCCACAAGCAAGGGACTCAAACAGCTTTACTATCAGATAGTAAACTTGATTACTGTGGACCGAACATGGTATCATTTGACATTTGGTCAGTTGACCTCCCTCTGAATTAGACCTAGGCTCAAAGATTTCTTGCTTGTTCCATGACAAAAATGTCTTCCCTGGCTTTTTAAATATTGATGGTGGTATTTTCTTTCTTATTCTTTATTTGTATTTTTATTTTGATATTATTATTATTTTATTCTTGGCATTTTATCTTGGTTTTGTTTTTTATTGTTACTGCTGGGTTTCCCGGTTTGTGAAGCACAGGAGGAGTAGATGCATAGAGATAATAACTGATGTCATGGTTTCATCGTGAATCTGGGGTGGGGGGGAGCTAGGAAGGGTGAGGGGATTTGGGGAGCAAACAAGGAATCCAGGAGTGGGGAGCAAGCATTGGAACTGATTGTGGTTATATATATACACCACTCATTTAAAAAAACTATTTAACCATGGAGATGCATGATTTGTAAGGACTGTATCAAGAAAACCACTAAAAAAAAAAAAAGAATGTTGATATGTTGTGATAAATGTAGCCAATGTCATTGAACAATATGTAGAGAAACTGTTTGATGGGAACCTAATTCTCTAATTGTTTAATGGGAACACAACAACATATATTGAGAAAAATGAAATAACTTTTTCAGAGCCCAAGACTGCTAAATACGTCAGTAGTCCAGCCACAGCCCTCCGGGTGCTGACTCAGCGAAAACCCATCTCAAGAGAGAACTGAAACTCAGGGACTGAAAGACAGCAGAAAGCCAATGTTCACCCTCTTCTCTTTCCTGCCCCTCTCCCTTCTCCCAAAGGAGCTCGTGGATGGTGAAACACCTTCATGGACAAAAACAGCCACAGGGCACCAGCTTCATGGGAAGGTATCCAAAATCATTAGGTCATGAACAGTTTCTTTCCCCAACTACATGCAGGCTCTTCTCCAGCAACTATCCCAAATCACTCTTTATAAGCAAATGGGGCCGAGGAAGAGGAGGAGGAAGGTGTTTGCAGCCAGAGTGGTACACAATCCCCTATTCATCAGCTTTGGCCTGGATCATTTCACATTACAAAGGGGTATTTCCTAGCCCAGAGGCACTGCACTTTGCTTTTGTCTTCCCCCCCTCATCATCCCCTTTGACTTATTGAGAGGGACTTTGGGACATGAGATTTGCTAGCTTTGCATTTTTATCATATTTCATAAAACCTGGAATATAGTAGCATAAGGTGCCTCTGTGGAACCAACTGGTCATCCTCAACTACTAACCGAAAAGTTGGTGCCTCAAATCCACCTAGTGCCTCCATGGGAAAAACCTCGTAAACTTACAGAACAATTATTGCCAAGAAAACCCTATGTAACATAGGGGGTTACCATGAGTCAGCACCAACTCAACAACCATCGGTTTAGATATTTTTGGTTTTGTCTATAGTAAATCCCCTAAAGTTAGAAATGAACCAACGGAGACAGGGTTATTTGGCTGAGAGAATATTGTAGGGGGATGAGCCTCTGCCTGGAACCTGTCATCCCTGAACTGCTTTGAAACAGCAAGTCACTCACCAACCCCATCAAGTTACAAAATTCAATGAGTCTTTGAAAAGGCCACTCTAGGTCTGACCTGGCTGAACACCATGCATCTTAATTTTAGTAGAACCAAAATTGTTTCTTAGGAAACAATTTGTACTCATAGAGGAGCCATAAGGAATGGAAGAGGGGTGGGTGTAGGTGGGGGCAGCAGCAGAGACAGGGAATTAGAGATTTTCTGCAGATGCAATGAGAAACAAACAGTGCAGATATTGTTCAGTCAAACCAGGAGCCAGTATAAATGGCCTAGAGTTAACAAATCAGAAAATGGGGGGAAAGAGAGGCACCTCAAAAATGAAGGTACTACCTACTCCCCTGAAACAGGGAAGATCATTAGCAATGGTTCTGTGAGGTCCCTGTGGGTTAAGAGCAACCTGGATATGGGATAATTGCCCTGAGATAGCATAATAGAGGAGCCTCATTTCTGTCTCTACCCATATGAGATTGCCAGGTCTCCACAAATTCAGCTTGCTGTATTTCATAATAGATTCTTAAAAATACTTTTATAAATATATATTACTTGATCGTTTTTAAAGCTCTGAGAGGCAGGGCTGTGATGACAGACTACTTACCTATGTGGACTATAGCTTTAATCATCTACCAACCCACGGCCAATTCCTTCTGGGGATAATGCTTGTGACAATGGGAAATTCCCAAGCCTCACTCATTCCAGTCTCTGCAAAGATATTAATATTGATGTTTACTCTGATATGATATAGATATCATTAGTAAGTTTCCTGGTTTCAACACTCAAGCAAGAATAGGGAAAGTCCCAGGCACAGAACAAAGCTTAATTGCTTTACCATTCACTCTCATAATGCTCTTCAAATACCCCTTAGTATCTACACCAGAGAACCTGGACTTTGTTCCCAGACACCCCCAGAGAACATACACACTTAATGGGAGGATCAGGCTGCTGAGGAAACTGAAGTCCTGCAGCACTAGAACCCAGCACTCCCTAATATTTTAGTATGCAAAAACATTATCCTATATAATAAGAATACAATCATCAAAATCAGGACATTAGCTCATATCCATACTACTTTCATCTAAGCCCAACACCCATTCAAATTTTGCTAATTGTCCCAATTATGTCCAGGATGACACATTATAATTAGTTGTTATGTTTCCTGGCAGGAGCCCTAATGGTCCAATGGCTAAGCACTTTACTAACTGATAATATGGAAGATGAACAATTGGAATATTGAGAGCACACAACAATCCTGACACTCATTCAAGTTTTTCTACATGTTCCAAGAATGTCCAAGATTACACATTACATTTAGTTGTTGTGTATCTTTAAAACTCATTGCTATGTAATTGATTCTGACTCATAGCAACTGTATAAGTATATATCTTTCTCCTGAGGATCAACTGGTAGTTTTGAACCTACTGACCTCTCATTTATATCTCCTTAGGCTTCTTCATTCTGGAATATTTGGCATTCTCTCTCTTTGGCTTTTATGACCCCGACACATTTGAAAATACGTACATGGCATTTCATATAGAGGATATTCCTTCAGTGGGCTTGCATCTATTGAATGGTACATGATTTCAATTCGCCTTAGAATAAGTGACAGTGATTTTGATCGCCTGATTAAAGTGGTTGTCTATTTAACTTCCCCACTACATCAGTTGCTATTTTCCCCTTTCTAGCTATGAGACGATGAAGAGATCTCAATCTTCCCTAAACCTTCAGTTTCAACATTGAATGAGTTTCTTTGCTGTCAACTTTAACAATTCTGATTTCATTATTTCTTCTAAATATGCAAGAGGGTTTCAAAAAGTGTGTAGAAGCTGGTATTGGAAGAGGATGGAATCCTGCACAAACTTTTGAAGTTCTGTCTAATTAGCATTCAGTACTAAAGAAAACTTCTCATTTATTTATTCTTCTTATTTACTTATTCACTTAGATATTTATATCATTATAGACTTACAGGTTCTCTTTTATTCAATGGGATATGATTCATTATTACAAGTACTTCTTTTCATGCTCCACTTACATTAGATCTGGCCCCGTGGAGACCCCTTTAGACTGGCTTCTGTGTCCTTTTGATATGGTCTCATTTTCTGGGTACTTCCTTGCTTTTCAACACAACAACATATCCCAGGGGCATTGCGTACTCTCCCTGCCCCATCCATGGAGTCAATCATATCTTCCAGGAGCCCTGGTTCAGTTAGGTAGTCTAACTTAGGGGCATGCTCAGAGGTCCAAGCTACCGGCCCTTGAAGGAGTGGTACACTGCGCATGCTCAGAGGCTCAGGTTTCCGGCCAGGAAGGGGAGGTACACCTGGGTGGGTGCTGCACCTGGATTGGCCCACTTAGGCCTGGTGAATTCAATTCAGCCAATGGGGTCAACCAGGGTTGTCCACCACGCCTCCCCGTGGCATAATTGAAAAGGCAGGAGCCCAGAGCCAACTCGTGACTTTCTGAGCAGCTTCTAGGGAGGCTGCACAGGCTGAGGAGCCCTGAGGGTGCCTGTGTAAACCTGAAACTTATTCTGACTCTCATAAAACTCACTTGGATCACACACCAGGCTTCAGTGTGAACTCTTTCTCATGCGGAGCCAAGGACTGAGGTATATCTCTCCCCAGAGAGATCTAGCAGTTCTTTTTAGAGGATAATGATATTGAGAAACCAAGATCTCAACACTAAGCATACTTCCTGCTATTCACTGCTCCTAAGTCCTCTCAGTGAAGATTGGTAGGGTGTACGTATACGCACACACACACACACACACACACACACACATTTTATCATGACAAAAAGCAAGTACATGTCTGCCTGGAGACAAGGTAGGGGACAGAGATGGGAAAGGAATTATAAATGGATTCTAGCTTCCATTGCAAAGTGCAGGTCAAAACATTTCCCAATGACCTTGAGTGCTGGCCTTAAGGCAGCATGGCATCCCTCAGGGCCCCACCCTCTAATGTAGAGGCCCCATTGAAAAAACTGAGCCCTGCCTCAAAGTTGCCTCGACCCTTGGACTGAGAACTGGGATATTCTGATGGGAGCGGAAGCAGAAGGGGTCCTCTAGGGCTGTGGAAGCGACAGTCATTGACCTTTGTGAGAATCTGGCTTAGTGGGTGTCCAATGAAAAGGGACCCAGAATACTTACCTGACGGGTGATACCATGATCACGAAGGTGGTTTACCCAGGGCAAGGCTTATCCATTGCACTCCGGATGTGCTGACCCCTGCAATTTCCCCAAATGTGGGAACTCAACTGCATAAGTTGTGGTAGTGGGGGCCTGTGTTCGCGCCCTCCCCTTTAAAAAAAGAAAGAAAGAAAAGGGATCAAGAATCACCATATATTTAGTAACTGTCTGTTCCCCTTGCATGAATATGACAAGTTTTGATCTGGACAGGGATCTTACACTTGTAGGAATTAATACAGGAAGTTTCCCCTGGCACCAATCTCCATGCTCCGTGTCAACAGAGCCCAGACGCTTGGGAGCGCAATCTGCGCAGGGCAGTGACTCATGGGTTTCAGCTCAGAGGTGGGCTGTCCTCAAGTAGATTGCTCATTTCGAAGTTGTCTTGAGCTCTGTGTCATCGGCAAAACGGTTGATGTTATCAATGCAGTCGCCTTTCACCCCCGGGGGATGATTGACAGTGTTCCTCTTTTTTGTTTCCTGGGGGTTTTGTTTTTCTGCCTTTTGTTTGTTTGTTTTTGGTTTTGTTGGTGGGGGTCTTGTGGATTTTTGTTTTTGTCATCATATAACCACCAAAGCAAACCAGAGTCATTCATGCGTGGGAAAGCAGATGGATTCTGGGCTCCCACTTAACTGTAGCCGCAATCCAACAACAGTTAGTTCTGACAACATGGCCCTGTTTGATACTTGCCTGTATGAAATGATCAGTGCCGAAAAGGGGGCTTCAGCAAAGTGTGGTAAAGAACGCAGGTGGGGCTTGGCTATCAATTAGAATAGTGGCTGGCATCTTAAAGGCTTGTATTCAAACACACAGCCATCTAAGTGAGGAGTCAACTAAGTCCACATGAAAGAAGCACACCAGCCTGTGTAAAGATGACAATAATCAAATCCAAATATGATGAAGGAAAAAGTATCAAAGTTTTAATTTTGAACATCCAGTTTGTAGGAGGCCATGGTGGAAATTGGGAGACCAAAATCTATCTGCAGAGTATCTAGTCAGGCTCAGCTGCTGGCAGATCCCCTCTAGCCACAAGCAAAGCACTCAAATAGCTTCACTCTCAGATAGAGATCATTGCAAATTTGATTATAGTGAGTCAAACATGAATTGATACTTAGTCAGTTGACCTCCCGCTTGACCGAACTTGAATTTCTTCTAGGCTTAAAATTGTCTTGCTTGTTCCAATGACAGATATTTCTTCCCTTTTTATATATTGATTATGGTGTTTTCTTTCTTACTCTTTATTTGTATTTTTCTCTTTATGTTATTATTATTTTCTTCTTGCCATTTGATTGTGTTTTGATTTTTTATGGTTTCTGTTGGGTTTCCTAGTTTGTAAAGCACAGAAGGAGTAGGTACATAGAGACCATAACTGATGCTATGATTTATCAGGGATATGGAGAAGAGGGTGAGGGGATGTGAGGAGCAAACAATGAATGCAGAAGGAAGCATTAGAACTGATTGTGATGATGCATATGATGATGTATATTCAACTCATTTTAAAAGCTATTTAACCATGGGAGTATATTATATGTAAGTACTATATCAAGAAAACTACTACTAAGAAAAAGAAATCAAACTTGACCAATACAGTAGTACCATGCGTGAAGGAGAAACAGTTGTTGCTTAGGGTGCATGGAGTATATATCGATGGTGGTGAAGTAATTTGGAAAATAATATCAATAATGGTTGTACAACACAAAGAGTATAATCAATGGCACCGAATTATACGAGAAGAAGTTGCAGAATTTGAGAATGTTTTATTGTGCATATTTTTGCCATAGTTAGAAAAAATATTATTACATGAGTAACAGTGAATTCAAGGAAGAAGAAAATGTTCTAGAGTTGAATATGGTGATATTTATACAACTCTTGATATGATTGGATTATTGAATTGTATGACAGGTAAATGAAGTACTAATAAAACTGTTAAAAACAAATTTCCAATGAATCAACTTTTTCTTCCTAAGAAATTCTTGTAAGTAAACCTTGCTCTCTCTTATGACAATGTTAATTCATCCTGATTTAATTTGCCAGCAGAGGACTTCGGAGAACATCTCATTTGACCTTGTGAAGTCTTATTTTACAGAGGCGAAGTTGAGGTTCAAGTGACCAGTATTATACAACTTGGAGACAATATCGCTTGAATCTCAACACAGACTTGACTGGATAGCCCAGGCTTTCCCTTCTACCATTGACTCCTTGTTTCTAATGCTGAGGATACGCTCAAGCCTAACCCAACTGCCCACCTGACTCCAGGAAGGCACTGGCAAACCACCCCGACCATAGTGAGGGGCTAACACTTTCTTGGGCCTCACCCCCTCCTCACCCTATGGAGCAGTATAGTCATAAAAATACTTGCTCCCGGATCATCAAGGATGGAGCAGCAACCGCCCCATAGGCTTTCCCAGGAGCAGCAAGAAACAAAAGTTTTCAGAGACTAAACCAAAGACTTTACACTGGGAGAGGCATACTTTCTGGCCTTCCCCCTCCTGTATTTTCTTTTCTACATCCCTAAGCAATTACTGGACTCCTTCTTCTCCCAACCTCACCGTTTCCTAACAAGGGAATTTGGTCCTTGACAACAAAGAGAAATAGTGTTGGTGTTGGTTCATGTGATGAAAGAAAAGCTGAGAGAGAACACAAGTTCGACCAAGCACAAAAGTAAAATGTAAAGAACAAAGTCTTGGTGAGACATGAAGATATACTCAAGCGTGATATGATCATGGAAATGAGTAATGGGATGGAAACCATGATCTATATAACACTAGAGAGCAGTGGGAGTTCAGTGGCAGAATTCTTGCCTTCCAGAAGGGTGACCTGAGCTTCATTCCCGGTCAGTGCGGTCACCAGCCCTGTCAGTGGAAGCTTGACTGGTGCTCAGACACTGCATAGGTTTCTGTGGAACTTCCAGACGAAGGCACACTAGGGAGAAAAAATCCAAAAACATCCCATGAACCCTCTATGGATCACCATAGTCTAATCCACATGGATCATGTGCAGTATCAGGTAGCGTTTTCTTCTGTTGTGCATGAAGCTGCCATGAGTTGGAGGCCAACTTGATGGCAGTTAATGACAACAACAAGTATATAAATGTAAAAAACTATTTTAAAGAGTTGACAGTTAATTTTAGGTAACAGTGGTGAGGAGAAAAGAAGTGGAAATGGATCTTAGCAACAGACACCCTGAAATCTTGGTTTATTTTAGAATGCAGCACATCTTATAAAACTCCACTTTCTCATGATGATTGACTGAAGATGGTTTTAAAAAAACGGTTTTTAAGCTCTCAAGTGCACTTACAAAATGACGGTCACCTAAAGATGACAGTCGACAGTACTACCTAAAACAAGGGGCAGGGCTTTCATACAAACACAGTGAAGTTTATTTTTAGATCATGAAGGAAATGAAAGATGCAGTTATTATAGCACTTTACATTTATAAAGCATTTAACAAAAAAATCAAAACTGTTATGGCCATCATTTAGAGAAATGAATAGTGCAGACTCTACAGTTAATCTTCCTAGTCTGAACAAAGACCCACCATGGCCTCATATAATCTTTTAAAAAATGATTGTCTTCCCTGATTCTCAGGTTCCTGTTCTATGTGGTGGTGATACTTACGATACACACCACAAAAGGCCATTGAAGGACTGCATGAGACGCCCATTAATGGATTCTTTTGTTCACTCATCCATTCACTAGGTGGTTTTGAGCATCTACTCTAGGCCAGACACTGTTCTGAGCACAGTAAACAATTGAAGCCCAAAGTAACTGTAATTAGGTTAAAATGGAATACTTTATCATTTGGTCTCCCTTTTGACCCACTTTAAAGTTGTTTCTCAGTTTTTAATTTTTTAATTTTTCAGCTTTCTCTTTGCTTGATGTTTTCCTATGTTTTGTCTAGTAGTTGATGTTCGGTTTTCTTTTGCTTGTTTGCATGCTTAGTATGATTTTGTATCATTGTGTTTTGCTTTATATTATTTTTCTGTATCTGAAACCCAAGATAGGTAGCTCTATAGAGAGAGTAACTGGATAGGGCATGGCAGGGGGATGATGGGGGGAAATGGGGAGCTAACACTAATGAGTATGAGAAGAAAATGTTCTGAAATTGATTGTGGAGGTTGCACAAATTTTAATGTGATTGCATGATTAAATTGTTTGATGTGTGAAGTATATGCCAATAAAACTCTTTTATAATGAAAACAAAGCTATCTCTTATGAAGCTTTCTTTATTTAGGAGGAGATATAAAATTGATGCAATAAATGTATAAATAGCTGCTGTGGAGTCACCTTGGACTCATGGTGACCTAATGGACAAGAGGACAATGCACTGCCTGGTCGGCATCATCCTCACACTCCCCGTCATGTGTGAGACCATTCTTGCAGCCACTGTGCTGCACATACGCTTCCTCGCCCTGGATGGCCCTTTGCCGCACCAAGCAATTGTTCCCTCTTGATGGCTTGTCCAAAGCAAGCAAGTCAGACAAGGTTCTAGTGTGAGCCATACGGTTTTTGTAAACTAATTTTCAGAAGTAGATTGCTAGGCTTTGCTGTGGTAGCTCATTGGTCTGCTTAACCATAAGACAAGCAATTCGAAACAACCAGCTGCTCCACAGGAGAAAAATGAAACTTTCTACTCCCATAAACAGGTAGTCTCAGAAACCCCAAGAGGCCGTTCCACTTTATCCTATGGGACCACTATGGGTCGGAATTGAGTCAACAGCAGTAAATATGCCTTGCTCCAGGACTCTAAGCCTGTCCACCGTGGGTGACGCTGAGGGTATTTGAACTATGGATGGCCTAGATCCCCAGCCTACCAGCCGCATACAAACCACTATAGTACAACAAACTGACAGATGGGTGGTGGGCATACTAAACATGCATACTGCCTGCTGTCAGTTGAGTCTGTCGGCACTCAGAGAGGCCCGTGCAGGCAGGGTAACAGTGCTCCTTTGGGTTTTTGAGGTTGGGACCCTTCAGAAGCACATCACTGGGCCTACCTTCTGAGGTACCACTGGATGAATTCAGATTAGCATCCTTTAGGCTAGTTGCTGACATTGAATGGTTTGTGCCACCCAACGATGATTAAAAACTATAGGAAAACGAAGTTGAAAGAGGAA